ACGTGTAATAAAAAAGAAACAAGAAAATAAACAAGAAATAAAAAATTTGTCACATTTATTCGATATCAAACAAGAGTTGAATGTACATCTGCAACCACAGTGGGCTCTTAGAAAAGACTGAAATGAACATCAACAGAGTTCCTGTTCACACCCACTCGAGCTCCAAACCCTTTCACTTCATACTTCGTACAATAAATTAGTGCCAAATACTGAGATATGACGAGTTGACGAGATCCCTGACAAATTCAAAGCATTTCGTTCTTTCGTTTTAACAGGTGAGTCCAATTCACTGCAAATTTGTGCAAGACGCCGCTTCCGTTACGCTAAAAAAATAAGGAAGCTTTTCACTTTTTTGTACATACACATTGGCAAAATACATTTGTTTTCCTGGTAAAATCCATAACTGAGCACATCATGTGGTGATTATGGGCTTTCTTTACACCGAGAGTACTGCAAAATATATGCTCTTTAGTCGCCGCTCGTACAACAGCTCTTTGTGCAATAGAGAAAATATAAGGCCTGAGTCTGGGATATCGTTTACATTTTCCTGTCATCGCAGTCTCTTGCTCAGATCAATCACTCATTCGCTATTTGCAGAATCACCTGCAAAATGTTTTGGGAGATTGTGTGTGTGTGTGTTTTAGTTCAGAGTTCTACAAAGGTCAGACATCGGCATGTTTCTTTTGTCTTTTTTTTTTAAAACAGTATACTGTACAAAGCTTTCGGCGGATGTAGATGACGCCAAACACTTTCTGCTCCACTTCGGTCGAAGAGTTTGAGCAGAAAGTCGACTCCATATTTATTAAAAAACCAAAACAAAAACAATAAAATCAAGAAGAGAGAAATAAAACGCGATTGTGCCTTGGACTAGTCCTCTCATCTGTGGCCGAACAGACAAAAATATGAGATGCAGAATGAACATTCTTGGCTCAGAGGCTGGTGATAAGCTGCATTTGTCCGTCATTGGCAGATTCAGCCTCCAGTGAAAGGCTAGCGCTAATCTGATAGTAGGACATCGCTGGAGTCCCGTCTCCGAGATCTGGTAAACTCTTACAGCATTGTTCCTGGGTTTCACTTTGAGCGGACGAGCATGGGGAATTCTCCTCCTCTCCGATGACGAGATCCGAGTCTTTCAGATTGGGCATGCTTGTGTACAGGGAGTCCCTGTTATTTGGTGACGAATCATCCTCTTTTTTGACCTCTCCCTCATCTTGTTGAGTGTCTCTGCTGATTTTGTGTGGCCTGATGACTTTCTGGGAGGCGTAAATGAGGGAGTGAGTTCGTTGGGGTAAAAGCGGGACCTCAAGGGCCTCCCGGTGGTTCGGGTTAAGAAGTAAAAGCTCCATTGCTGGATGGCAGGAGGACAAAGGCATAGCGGAGGTGTCGGTTTCAGCGTTTTCGCACTCGTTTCTGTCTCCGACACCTTCGTCGATGTCCGCGCAGTTTTCCTGAGGACTCGAATTTCTGTCCGCTTGGCATTTGGAGCTGCTTTGGTTTCTGCGAGGCCGTAAATTGTTGTGAACCAGCTCAGAGATGATCATTTTTTCAAATGCAGCATCGTCCAGGCGTATTTCGCATCCGGTCGGACAGGTGATGGCCGGGTCCTCGTAGTCGTCCTCCCGCAGTGAGTAGCTATTGTTGAAATTGTCGTTCAGAGGGAGGGTGTCCATTGTGCTGACATCACGACTGTTGCTAAGCGAACGCTGACCTGGGAGTCAAAACAAACCAATAATGAATCAGTATCGGGAATAAATTGCTGGAAATAAATGAACAGAACATGTATTGACATGCAATATTATGCTGTTTATAGAGATGCACTGAAATTAAAAGTATGTGCAGAAACCGAAACTGAAAATTCGAAAACTAAAATTGTAATAATAACTAACATATCGAGTGAAGAAGTGAATTTAACTATAAAAACTTTAATAATAATTAACATATTGAATGAAGAAGTGAATTTAAATGAAATGAATGGGTTTCATAGCGCATTGCTTTCTGTGCCCTGTCTGAAAGCTGCTTTCACATCGCACAGTGACTATGGCTAGAAGGAGAGTGAAACCAGCACTGAACATTGCCGGCGAGTGTGGTGCACCATAGTTTTAATGAAAACGGAGGAAAACTAAATTTCAGAGCATCCCTAGTTATTTATACCATTAAAATTATAGTGAAAAGTGAAAATTAAATCAGAACTTGTTGTTATTATAATGTTGCATGCCTTTCTTTCTTTTTCGGAGAACATTTACAATAAAAACAAATGACAACAACAACCAGCTCTTGCTTGTCCCTATAATAATAATAATAATAATAATAATAATAATAATACCAATAAAAAATAATAACAACAATAAAAATAATAACAATAACAATAATAATACAAATAACAACAACAACAACAATGATGATAATAATAATAATATAAAAGCAACAATAATAATAATAATATAATAATATTAATATAATAATAACAATAATATAATATAATAATAATAATAATAATAATAATACAATAATAATAATAATAACAATAATAATAATACAACAATAATAATATTAATATTAAATAATAATAAAATTAATATTAATAATATTATTATTAATAATAACAATAACAATAATATAACAGCAATAATAATAATAATAACACAATAATAATATAATAATAACAACAATAACAATAATAACAATAATAATAATAATTAATAATAATAATAGAATACAAAAATAATAATAATTAATAATAATAATAATACAATAATAATAATGTTAATAATAATAATAATAATAATAATAATAATAAAATAATAATAATAATAATAATAATAAATATTAATAGTAATAATACAATTCAAAATAATAAAAATAAAATTAAAATAAAATAAAAAATAATAATATTACTATTAATAACAATAACAATAATAATAATAATACTTATTATTATTATTAGCAAATAGGATCAAGCTTTTTAAAAGGTCCATTTTGTTTATTATTGTGTTTTGTGAAAAATCAAACCTAAATCGAATGCATTTAATAATGAAATAATACTAAAATGATTCACATTAGTCTGTCTTCAACCTCGTTCAAAAGCACAGAATAAATGCAATACAAACTACACGCCATGCACTTTCTTCCTTTTCTTAATAATAGTGACATTTACTTCAATCCAATTCAAGTGTATTTGTATCGCACTGTTCATAATAATTATTGCTTCATGCAGCTTTACAAAAGGTGCACATTATTGCATTACCATCTAATTTAGTTAAAGTTGCAATCAAATACAAGTTGTGATATAAACATCATTAACCTGCAGTTTCAAGTGTACATGTTTAATGAAGTGTATTTATGTATTAAGTGTATGTGTTATCACAGCTTTTGAAGAGAGATTGAAGGCATTGTATTTCATGCCGTGTTTTGATCAGTGTTTATTTATCAACAGTGCACTCATGTGCTTTTTCAGTCAGGCATGAACTGGACTGCTAATGTCGCGGATGAAGACAGTCAAGGTCAGGATTTTCCATTAATAAACTATTACACTTGGGTTTGATTTTTTCAGCAAACCCTCTTGGACACCTACAGAATGTACAACACAATTGATAGTTTTTACTTTTCTTCACGTTGCTGTTTAGCGCTATTACATGAACAAGCACAGGCTGGACGCATTCTATATTTATTTATTGACTTATTTTTAATAATTTCTCATGCGATCTAAAACAAAATGAAGCATATAAATGATTAGAACACCAGGGTGAATAAAATAATTAGAACTTTGGGTGAACTATCCCTTGTTTCTCATAAGGCTTTTTACATGCCAAAATAAATAATAACAACAATAATAAATAAATATTCAGGGAGAAAAAGTCAAATGCATACTACCCAATATAAATAATTTAAACCATATATTCAGTGTTTCAAAATACTGACATTTTAACAGTATAGCACAGAGAGAACAACGACAAAAAAAAAACAAACAAAAAAAATTTATGTTAAGTGTTCCCATATACCGCCATTTTAACAGTATAGCACAGAGGGAACGACGACAAAAAAAAAACAAACAAAAAATTAAACGTAAAGTGTTTCGAAATACCGCCATTTTAACAGTATAGCACAGAGGGAACGACGGCAAAAAACAACAAGCAAAAAAATAAACGCAAAGTGTTTCGAAATACCGCCATTTTAACAGTATAGCACAGAGGGAACGACGGCAAAAAACAACAAGCAAAAAAATAAACGTAAAGTGTTTCGAAATACCGCCATTTTAGCAGTATAGCACAGAGGGAACGACGACAAAAAACAACAAGCAAAAAAATAAACGCAAAGTGTTTCGAAATACCGCCATTTTAACAGTATAGCACAGAGGGAACGACGGCAAAAAACAAGCAAAAAAATAAACGTAAAGTGTTTCGATATACCGCCATTTTAACAGTATAGCACAGAGGGAACGACGGCAAAAAACAACAAGCAAAAAAATAAACGTAAAGTGTTTCGAAATACCGCCATTTTAGCAGTATAGCACAGAGGGAACGATGACAAAAAACAACAAGCAAAAAAATAAACGCAAAGTGTTTCGAAATACCGCCATTTTAACAGTATAGCACAGAGGGAACGACGGCAAAAAACAACAAGCAAAAAAATAAACGCAAAGTGTTTCGAAATACCGCCATTTTAACAGTATAGCACAGAGGGAATGACGACAAAAAAAAAACAAACAAAAAAATAAACGTTAAGTGTTCCAATATACCGCCATTTTAACTGTATAGCACAGAGGGGATGATGACAAAAAACAAAAAAATAAACGTTAAGTGTTTCGAAATATCGCCATTTTAACAGTATAGCACAGAGGGAATGACGACAAAAACAAAAAAATAAACGTTAAGTGTTCCGATATACCGCCATTTTAACAGTATAGCACAGAGGGAATGACGACAAAAAAAAACAAACAAAAAATAAACTTAAAGTGTTTCGAAATACCGCCATTTTAACAGTATAGCACAGAGGGAACGACGACAAAAAACAAGCAAAAAAATAAACGTAAAGTGTTTCGAAATACCGCCATTTTAACAGTATAGCACAGAGGGAATGACGACAAAAAAAACAAACAAAAAAATAAACGTTAAGTGTTCCAATATACCGCCATTTTAACTGTATAGCACAGAGGGGATGATGACAAAAAACAAAAAAATAAACGTTAAGTGTTTCGAAATATCGCCATTTTAACAGTATAGCACAGAGGGAATGACGACAAAAACAAAAAAATAAACGTTAAGTGTTCCGATATACCGCCATTTTAACAGTATAGCACAGAGGGAATGACGACAAAAAAAAACAAACAAAAAATAAACTTAAAGTGTTTCGAAATACCGCCATTTTAACAGTATAGCACAGAGGGAACGACGACAAAAAACAAGCAAAAAAATAAACGTAAAGTGTTTCGAAATACCGCCATTTTAACAGTATAGCACAGAGGGAATGACGACAAAAAAAACAAACAAAAAAATAAACGTTAAGTGTTCCGATATACCGCCATTTTAACAGTATAGCACAGAGGGAACGACGACAAAAAAAAACAAACAAAAAAATAAACTTAAAGTGTTTCGAAATACCGCCATTTTAACAGTATAGCACAGAGGGAACGAAAACAAAAAACAACAAGCAAAAAAATAAACGTAAAGTGTTTCGAAATACTGACAATTTAACAGTATAGTACAGAGGGAATTGCGACAAAAAAAAAACAAACAAAAAAATAAACGTTAAGTGTTCCGATATACCGCCATTTTAACAGTATAGCACAGAGGGAATGACGACAAAAAAAACCCCAAAAAAATAAACGTAAAGTGTTTCGAAATACCGCCATTTTAACAGTATAGCACAGAGGGAATGACGACAAAAACAAAAAAATAAACGTTAAGTGTTCCGATATACCGCCATTTTAACAGTATAGCACAGAGGGAATGACGACAAAAAAAAACAAACAAAAAATAAACTTAAAGTGTTTCGAAATACCGCCATTTTAACAGTATAGCACAGAGGGAACGACGACAAAAAACAAGCAAAAAAATAAACGTAAAGTGTTTCGAAATACCGCCATTTTAACAGTATAGCACAGAGGGAACGACGACAAAAAACAAGCAAAAAAATAAACGTAAAGTGTTTCGAAATACCGCCATTTTAACAGTATAGCACAGAGGGAATGACGACAAAAAAAACAAACAAAAAAATAAACGTTAAGTGTTCCGATATACCGCCATTTTAACAGTATAGCACAGAGGGAACGACGACAAAAAAAAACAAACAAAAAAATAAACTTAAAGTGTTTCGAAATACCGCCATTTTAACAGTATAGCACAGAGGGAACGAAAACAAAAAACAACAAGCAAAAAAATAAACGTAAAGTGTTTCGAAATACTGACAATTTAACAGTATAGTACAGAGGGAATGACGACAAAAAAAAACAAACAAAAAAATAAACGTTAAGTGTTCCGATATACCGCCATTTTAACAGTATAGCACAGAGGGAATGACGACAAAAAAAAACCCAAAAAAATAAACGTAAAGTGTTTCGAAATACCGCCATTTTAACAGTATAGCACAGAGGGAATGACGACAAAAAACAACAAGCAAAAAAATAAACGCAAAGTGTTTCGAAATACTGACAATTTAACAATAGCACAGAGAACGACAGTAAAAAACAACAAACCAAAAAATAAACTTTAA